CTAGCTTTGGCCAATGCAAATTGGTGCTGGCCACAAAGGCCCCTCCTTGCACCCTCCCCCTGCTAATTTCTGGAAAGATCTGCCAACCCCCCTGATAAAAATAAGCAAATACCCATGAATGGGGCCCTCCCAGAGGAACCTTCCCCTTTACAAATGGAGCAAATAAAGGATTGGACCTGCAGCCCTTTTAAAAACGTGCGTTCTTTAAAGCAGCCCCCCTAAACGCCCAGTCAAATTCGGGGCAATGCTCCTGAGCCTTGTGCGCAACCCCCCCCCCCCAATCTCTTGAATGCTGGTTGAAGCAACCAGGGAAACCGTTTTCTCTGACCTACTTTGAGGGGAGAATGCTGGCTTTTATATAACTGAATGTCAGCTGAAGGGGAGGGAGGTGTTAAGCGAGACGCTGAGGAACTGGAAAGCAGCAGGATGGGCTCCCGGCACCTGCAGCCCCAAAGGAGTGGGGGGGGGCATCTTTTCCTCACTGAAAAGCGACTTACAGGCTGGAGCATCCCCCCCACACACACCTTGAGGCCTTCCCAGCCGGCAGCATATCAAGAGCATGTGGGCGCCCCCACCTCGCAAACACCTCCTCAGGCGTCACCGTCAGCCGCCAAGGACGTTCCAAGGTCAGACCAAGCGGCTGTCCTGCGCAGCATCCTGTGGCGGGCAGTGGTCAGCCCAGTCCCCCACACCCCAGGAGCAGAACATGGAGGACAGGGCCTCTCCTCCTCTGCTACCCTCTCCAGCCACTGGGGTGGAGGTGCCAGTCTGCCAGCGGGCACGTGCCATTGAGAGCTGTGACCAAGAATTCCTGTTCTTCTGGGCCGGCACCAGCCTGCCCTCCTGCCTGTCCTGGAGGAACTGCTTCTTCTCCCTGCAGGCATGCAACCTCCCCCCCCCCGCCGCTTCACAATCCTTCCTTTGAAAGGACTATTTTCCCCCACAAGAACATCCCTGTGAGGTAGGCTGGAACAGGCAGAGAGCTGAGGATGGACTTGAACCCAGGTCTCCCCACTCCTAGTCCAACAGCTTAACTATTATTACCTCCCACTGGCTGCCTCAGTGGCCATGCCCCAAAGGATGAGGCATGCAAAATATACAACTGGATTGGTTCTAGAGGATGTGGAGGGAAGAAGGCTGTGCATGAATGCAGGCTATTTGGGCAATAAAGCAGTAGGGCAAAGCCCCCCCCCCCCAATTTCCTCAGTTTTTTAGGACTGGAGTTAGATCTCCTGCCAGAAGATCAGCTTTGATCTCAGCAAAGTTGTGGGGGGCGGGGGGCACAGGTGGAGCTCCTACGGACAGGCCAGAAGTCACAACTGCTGTTTCAGCACCTTTTTCTCAGTCCACGATCCCTCTAAAATAGGAGCGTGTGGATGGCTGCAAGGACAGACCGATACAAAAGGGAATTCTGCAGCCCGGCCAGGATCTGTGGACTAGGACAGGCCTGCAAATGTTCAGCCCGTGTTTGTTACTGATGACGCCCTCCCAAAAGGGGGCTCAAATTCCAAGCCAAAAGAAACTGAAATGCTGCAGTTGGTACACACTCTGCCTGCCATTTGCACTCACACATATTTGCCCACGCTGCATAATCTGTTCCATTTCTGCCAGTCAGAATAAATTATGCATGATATTTGAAGTTCACTCTCTCTTGGCAATCCTGCTCTACACCTCCCCCCTCCCCCAGCAGCCATCACAGTTTCAGGGGTGATTAGGCTTAAGGTCTAGAAACTTCATTTAAGTTATAGAATCATCGGGTCTGGGGGGTCTTCTAGGCCAGCCCCCTGCCAGGAATCCTCTGACCGTCCCGGACAAAGGCTGTCCGCCCTTTTCTTGAAATGCTCCAAGGCTGGAGCGCCCGAGCCTCATGGGCCAGAAATCCTCCCCCCCCCCCCCCCCCCTCCG